TTGTTTGGCTGCTGGGAAAGTACCACTGGTCCCAGTAAGGCAGGGGCTCTGGTGCAGGCTCTTTTGCACTCAGCACATTTGGGTCTCCGTGTGCCCAGCCATGACTGACCCTTCTTCAGCCCTTAGTTCAGTTTGGATTCCTTTGAATGTTTGTGCCGGATGCTGTGCTGTTATTTGGCCTCCGCTGGGTGTGACTGGGTTAGTGATGTTTGGTCCTCTTCTGTCCCTTTCTCTCCACTTCAGTGCTCCTCACACTTTCATGCACATCACTTGTGGATTCTGTAGGACTGGGGTGACGTCTGAAGTGCTGCTTATTTCTTACAAGCTCCCAGTTGATTGAGCAGCAAGCCTTAGCCATGATGATTCAGGTAGTAAGAACAACTTTACCATGCAATTGTGAGCCCCAAGGCACTGGCGCTGACCTCTGGTGGTGGCATTTGGTTAGAAGATGGTCAACCAGATGGTCCAAAATATGTGTGCATTAATTTTTGACCATCAAAAGTTTTTTAAAAATTTAAGTATTCATGAAGGGAACTTGCCATCCCAAGACTACATCTCTGGACTCCAGATTGGAAAACAATTGCTAGGGAACGTTTGAGCCACAGAACAGACCCTCTTTGGGTCATGCTTCCCCTCTTACGGGGCAGTGCTGGTGAACTTCAGCTGGGGTTCACGCCGCTGGGATTCAGTTACCTCCTTTCAGGTGTCAAGCCCCATGGAATACTCTGTGATGGTGATATTTAAAAAAATTAAAAAGAACCCAAAGGTGAGCAGGAGACTGCACTGATGCTCGGCATGTGGGGCCTGAGAGAGTTTTGGTCTCCCTGAGTCTGCGCCATTCGCTGACCACTTGATCTTGTTGGTGCCAATGAGGCTAGCCCAGGTTCCCACCTTGTGGCCAGGTACAGCACAAGACTGCTTTGAGTACTTTCTGGACGCTTAGGAGCTTTGAGGAGAGTTCCCTAATAACCTTCTTCCAAAGAAAGGTTAGGGTGCTTGTGATGATAACTTTACTTGGGAAGCCAACTTTGCCTGAGACAGGGAGACCTTCCTTCTCTTTTGTCAGCTTAAACATGAAGTCCGAGCTCTCCCTTTGGGAGCCCGTCATGAGCTGTGCTGATTTGTGTGTGTGTGTGTGTATGTGTGCTAATATTAAGAGTATAGAGTGAATTTGTGCATGTTTCAGAAGTTGGTATGTAGCTCCTTACACAGAAAAAGTCCTTATCTAAGGACACCTGATTGGTTGTGAGGCCAGGCAGGCCCTTTCCTCATGGGGGCGGCTTCGATTTGTGTACTGGTAGGTCTCTTTGGAAATGGTCATTTTGGGGAGCCATTGACACACATACAGGAATAAAAAATATTTACTGGATGTTTCTAAAACCGGCCTGCCAGAAAAGCTTCACTTCTGTAGTGAGGAGTACAGGGATGGGCAGTTTTCAAAGCATGGAATTGGAGAATCCTATAAAGCTAGAATCAAAAGAACCATAGGATCCTTTAGTCCATTGCACGTTTTATAAATGAAGGAAAATGTGCCTGGCACGGTGGTTCCTTCGTGCTGATGCTTGACAAAGTTTTCACCCGTTTGAGACAAAGTGAGAAAAATAAAGACAGCTGCAGTGAGATCTTCATAAAATTACATATATTCAGTTTAAAGACCTGTCTGTTCTGAAATTATGTATTTTCTGTATTTTGGGGGTGAAGATGTCTGGTCTGAAGCAAAATGGTGGTTAGAGTAGATGGTTGCATTTTTAAAAATATCTGTATGAAATAAAAATTCAGCACTGCTGTCTCTGAGGCTGGAGGTGCATTTTACTAGTTCTGGGAATCCACACACGAGGAACCAGGGACCCCGCGGACCACCTCGTAGCCTGGTTGGTGTCAGCTTGGTGGGCTGCAGGAGATGGCTGAGCCTCCCCAACCTGCAGGCGCGTCCCAGAGGGCAGAGAGATGAACTAAGATGGCCAGGATCCAGAGCTTTGAGTCTTTGTGCGGCTGTCCTTGTTCAGTTCGCAGACAGCCACCATGACTACGGGGGAGTTTCCTGAGTGACTAGGGTACGCAGAGGCTCCGGAGCTGGGGCCATTGTTCACAAACAGAGCCTTGTAGCACTGATTCCCAAACCTGCTACGTGCTAGAATCAGCTGGAGAGCTTTATTAAAATCCTACTGCCCAGGCTGCACCCATACGAGTTAAATCAGAATGCCTGGGAGTGGGAGCCAGACATCATGTTTTTTGTTTGTTTTTTTAAATCCCCAGGTGTTTCCAGTACACAGCAAGAATTGGGGATCCTCTGCCTTTGAGCTGACTTGGCCAGGGTTCCGGGCATGCCTGTGGTGTGTGTACTGCCCCCGGAAAAGCTCCTTCCCAAGAGGCACCCTGTATTGTTATCTACAGTCTTTTGGGGAGTGCCTATTACCCTGCTGGTTCTGATGAAAATTACAAAGAATTGTGAACGGCCGCCCATCCGCAGGGACACAGAATACAAAAGGCCTTGGAGCTTGTAAAACAAATGATCCAGATCCACTGGAGACCCATAAAGATGGAAGTCGTGATGAGGCTCTGTTGCATTTGATGCTTCCTCTTGATTTTCTCCATAGAAATTCAGGTTACAAGATCCTGCAGCCACGGTTGAGCTTACGACACAGACAGCCACATACGTATATATGAACTACCTGATACAAGGTCAAGGGTTAGTGCAGGAAGAAATGGATAAGTAACTGCCAAGATCTGTACCATCCGGAGCTTGGTTTTATTGTTCACCGGAGTCTCCGAGTATTATGTCCCTACCTGTCCTCTTCTTTCCCTCCTCTCTTAAGGGATCCTGCCTCTGAAGCTAGTCACTGCCCTTCGTCTGTTATTTCCTACCAGCTTCCGGCTTTTGCTCCCTTAGTGACCACCTCTTCTCCCTCTATTCTCCTCCACCCCCCCCCACCCCCCGCCATCTCCATCTCCATCCTGACCTTCCTCCTAACCCTCATTCTTCCGCTTCAGCCTTTCTTGATGGACCGTTTCTTGATGGACTCTTCTGGAAGGGAGAGTGTCCTGTCCCCTCCTGTCCCCAGCACTGATGCAGCAGAGCCTTTCCAGTGTTTCTATCCGTGCTCATGGTGCCCGTCTTCTGGTCAATTGGAGCAAACTTCTGCCATGATTTGTGACTGCCCCTCTCCCCCTTACACTTCCTTCTCCCTTTTGCTTTCACCAAACTGGGTGGATCCCTTATCCACAGCTTCTCCCCTAGCCCCCTTCTTCCAGCCCTGTGGTTCCTCATCTTCCAGGAGCCGAGCTGCTGTGTGCGAGCACGGGCCCCACTGGTCCGTCCCCCCAGGAGCCCCACAGTCTCCCCAGCTCTCCAGATGCTCTTCCAGCCGCTTCTCCCCCGCCTTCCCGCGCAAACCCAGAGAGCCTGGCTGTCTGCTGTCTCCCACCTCTGACCTGCCCTCCCTTCTCTTGGCTCAAATCCTCCTCCTTAGATTTTCCTTCCTGTACAAAATGTGTAGAAGAACAGGAAGTAATTTTTTTCTCTGATTCCCTTAGATTCTGGCCGTTTTTCCTCAGGGAGACTTTTTGTTGACCGCCCCGTCCCATAGGTCTTGCGCCTGCTCCCGTCTGTCGCGCCCGGTGGAAACTCACGGGTGGCAAGGGCGCCCTTCACCCGGACCCCACGGCCTCTCTGGGGCGCTGCGTGCTGTGCGCTCAGGGCTCCCGACCCCCGCTTGTTGGCAGGGCGGTTTTACATGGGGGGGGGGGTCAGCTCCTTTCTTAGAGCAAGAGAGTTGGTTGGGAAGTGATCATACTGCTATTTTGAGTGAAGGGAAACCTAAAAGAGAGACAGTAGATGATTTTCTGAGGAAATGATTGGAGGAAAGTCTTCCCTAACTGGGAATGTAGTATATGACAATAAGGAATGATGAAAATAATTGTTGTGTTAGTGGGCGGCGTAGCGAGCTTGTTGGCCAAGAGCTTGTTCTTCGCTTATTTAATCCTTCTGAGCCCCTATCCTGACTTGTAAGGGGGGGGAGTATTGTGTCTACTTCATGGAGTTATGAGCACTTAAGTGAATTAAGAAAGCACTGACTTGTTCGCACAGTTCCCCTTCAATGAGTGGTACCATCATTTTTCTTTTCCTGTCGTAAAGGATGTACCACAAAGGTACCTTTCATTGGAGAGGCAGCTCTAGTATGGTGACCAGGAGCTGTCTGGCGCTCGGCTGGGGAATCCAGAAGTGGAGCTCACTGACTAGGATATTCCAGTTGCCTGGAAAACGCATGCTGGGCACCTCCCGTACGGGGATCGCGGTGGACCCTCAGGCTAGCAGGGTGAACGAGGCGTCTGCAGTCCCGCAGGAACTGATGTGTGAAGCTGTGGACAAGTTAGAGGAAGAGAAGGGGAGGGAGGACTTCAGGGAGAGGTTTTGTCCTGATGTAAGGAGACTTGCTAAGGTGCTTTTGCAAGATTGAGGAGGAAGTTCGGAGGTGTTGCGGTGCCCGTGGGGGGTCTGGGTGACAAGGGGCCCCGCCTGCAGACACAGGATGCTGTGTTAGCGAGACCAGAGTGAGTTCGGTCCCTGGAGCCCCTGTAGTCCATGGCCATGAACCGTGTTAACCCTTAACCCTGGTGCTGCTCCAGCTTGGCCTCCTGCAAGACCATGTCTTCCCGTGTTTGCCCCACTGATGGGGCGAGAGCACCATCTTTTTATCACTGGAGGGTTACCGAAGAATCCATGCACAAACTAGGGATGCTGGGAAAATACTAAGTGGACTCACAGAAATTAAACCTCACACGTTCACGGTCATCTCTGCATCTCCAGCCCAAATCCAGTTTCCATGTTTAAGATGAATTAACCCTTTCTGCTAAGTGGGAAAGAGCATGCGAGGCTTTCCTGCCCGGGGATGATTGGGAGAGGAATTTAGACAAAAATCTCAGGGAGGACAAATCTTGCACAGAGCTTGCTGAGGGATTGGTGTAACTAGACTGAAAATGCTCCCCTTTTCTTCTCACAGGGGAAAGTGGAAGTAGAAGCTGGGAAGGAAGGTATGAAATTCGAAGCCAGTGCTTTCTCCTACTACGGTGTGATGGCTCTCACAGCCTCTCCAGGTGAGCGTCCGTCCTCTGCCCGTCGGGGCAGGGCCGGGTTTTAGGACAGAGCGCCCTTCCACGGTCACCTTTCTGTACCGGCCAGCTAGCCCTGTTTATCTAGGTCTTGACCTTTTTATTGAAGCATATCATGTATACCCCCCCACCCGCCCAAATCATAAGCCTGTGCCCCCATGAACTTTCACACAGCCAAGGCTCCCATGTGAGGTGGCACCCAGTTCAAGAGACAGATGTCACCGACCCCACTGCCACCACACTCTGTCACTGTCCCCCAGACTGCTGCCTTGACTTCTAAGCGTAGACTAGTTTTGCCTGTTTTTGAACTTGGTATAAATGGGCTGACACGGGATGTATTCTCTCGAGTCTGGCTCCTCCCACCCAGTGTTGTCCTTGTCACATTCGTCACTATTGCTGTGTGTGCTCGGACCTTCTCGTTGCTGTGCAGTGTTGCATTGTGTGAATACACAGCAGTGTACTTTGTTCGCTGCTGGTGGACACGGGGGTTGTGTCCTGCTGGGGGCTGCCATGCGTTGTGTGGCTGCGCACGTCTTCGGCGAGCGTCTCTGCTGGGCGTGTGTGTGGAAGTGGTGCCCGGGGCTCCCGGCCCTGCCGCCTGCCTCGGTGGCCGGGGCGGTGCACCCTCCTGCCTCTGCTGACCGGGGTTACAGTGGCTCGACCCCCACCGCTAGATGTTGTCGAGTCTTTTAAGTGTCCACTGTCCTGGAGGTTTTTAAATTTGCATTGTCCTGAGGATGAACGAGGTTGCTAATAGATCTTTATTGCCGATAGCCAGCTCTTCCTGTCTAGGCAGCTGGTCAGGTGAGTCTGCCAGCTAAGGACGGCTGTGCCCTAGGTGTCCGCTCGCTGTTCTGAGCCCCAGATGCCGGCAGGTGGTATCTGGTAGGAACACGGAGCACAGATAGCTTGCTTTGCAGTGTGTTTGTGACCAGGGCCGACAGGTAAACAGAGGTGCTGCAGTGCCACCTTGTGGCCGCAGAGCCAAATGACATGCTGTGCTAGGAAACTTACAAACCCCAAACTTCAAAGTAGCCCATCCTAAAACAACCTAGGCCGCTTCTGGAAACCAGTCTCAAAAGGGGAGGGGATACCTCCAGACCCATCTGTTTTTGTGACCTTAGTCTTCATCTGCCGCGCCACACACTGTCCCGGGCACCCAAAGATGTTACTACAGTTAGGAAGCCAAGGAAATGTTCAGGATTCTCTTCACGCACCTCAGCCTCCCCTGCCCCAGACGCATCTTCTCAGTATCCTGCTGTGGGGTTTTCAGCCACGTCGGCCAGCCTCCCCATTGCCAATGCGGACTAACACCAGTGTGAACATGGGCCTGTCTAACCCCACTTAATTGTGACTGCTATAAACTTGAAGGTGGTCTGCTCTCAATCCTCCCGAGGAGGCAGGGAGGTTCCTAACTAGTCTGGGAGGCCCTGGGCCACAGCTGCAGTTTCACTGCATATGGTGGGCTGCCTTTGAGAAAGGTCTTGGTTTCCTCCTTATTAAAAGGACACAATAAGGTTACCTCGTGTGATTGTTAGAAGAATAGAATGTGATGATACTTATCCACGCGAGTGCTTTGTAAGCTTGAGAGCACAGAGGAAATGTCGGTGTGAGAGCTGGGTGTTGACCTTGTGACTGCTGTTGGGCAGCCAGCCTCGAATTAGCCCCAGGTTAGCAGAGTCAGATTCAGAAGGTGGCTTTGAAAAGAAAGTTACAAGAGTAAGGATACAATCGTACCAATCACTGATTCTTGAAACCTAAACATTAGCCCGATTTATATGAACTGTGGGTTCATGTAAAGGCAAATCCTATTCAGAAAAGGAGTTGAGGAGCAGGCCTCCCATAGAGCAATCCTGTGGGACTGCAGCGGCCTGGCCTCATTGGGAAATGCCAGGAAGGAAGGAAGGAAGATCTCATTAATAGCATCTTTTTTTTTTTTTTTTAAAGATTTTATTTATTTGACAGAGAGAGACACACTGAGAGAGGGAACACCAGCAGGGGGAGTGGGAGAGGGAGCTGAGCAGGGAGCCCGATGTGGGGCTCGATCCCAGGACCCTGAGATCATAACATGAGCCGAAGGCAGACGCTCAACGACTGAGCCACCCAGGCACCCGTCATTAATAGCATCTTACTTATTACAAAGCCCAGTACTTTACTTGACAAATAGGATTTGGGATTTTGTATATTCATTGAAAGATACAGTTAGTGTCCTAATCTCAAGATAATATTTCTATTTCTTAATATTGATTGCCTAGAAAAATCCTACAGTAATCAGTTTCAAGGCCTGCCCAATTGCGTGTCAATTATACTGCAATTTAAAAACAAAAAACAGAGGGGCTCCTGGGTGGCTCAGTCAGTTAAGCATCTGCTTTCAGCTTGGGTCATGATCTCAGGGTCCTGGGATCGAGCCCAGAGTCGAGCCCAGAGTTGGGCTCCCTGCTCAGCGGGGAGCCTGCTTCTCCCTTTCCCTCTGCCCCCCAGCTCGTGCTTTCTCTCTTTCTCTCTCTCTCTCAAATCTTGTTTAAAAAAATAAGAAAAAATAAAAAATAACCAAAAAAAACCAAAAACAAAACCCTGCCCAAGAAATAGGACTCCTGCCAGGGAGAGCAGTGTTGATTGGACTTTTCAATCAGACGGACCTGTAGCTCTCTGGGTAGCAGTGATGAGGATGACTTTGGTCCGACATTCCCAGGAGACCTGTGCCTAATGTTCTTTATTTACTGTCCTTTAATACTTTGAACTTTCAGAGTATTCCAAAACAATTCAAAATATCAGGTCAAAATTACGAGACTAAGGATGTCTGTGAAGTGAATAACTAACTGCTTTGCCACAGGGAGGGACGCTATCGGCCCTGTTGGCGTGGGCAGCTTGGGTCATGCTCTTGGGTCAGTTGATTAATTGAGTCCCCCTTTTGTGTGGCTCGTTGTGATTTAAATCCTTAAGAAGAGCACGTTTTGAGCTATAAGCCCCAATAGAGTATTAATGGCTTAAGAGATTTCTAGGTTAGTAGAGAAGCATTTGAAGAGGATTTTTTTCTGATTTCAACCTCCCTGTATTACTCTTCCTGGAAAGCAGTGTGTGTTCCTTTTTAAATTTCCATAATATCATATAGGCTTTTGCGTTTCTGGAATTGAATGCTCATATTAGTAGAACCGGTATCCACTCCTGTCCCCTGAGTGCAGAGATCTCCTTTCTTGCCTTTTGATATGGTCTCACCCTGTTTTTCTCCATTTTTCAGTTCCTTTGTCCCTGTCTCGTACCTTTGTTGTCAGCAGAACAGAGTTGTTAGCAGCAGGTTCTCCAGGTAACTCTGCATGTTTCCTTTTCGTAATTCTTCCGGTTGCTTCCCTTGACACCCCGCCAAAGCCTGGCCGGCCAGATCGGTTCCCATTATGTGGTCGAAGCTGTTGGCAGTTTTTCTTGGAGGTCTCGAACTCTCCACGTGTCCAGACACGGTAGTGAGCTGTCCAGGAGCGGAGAAGCCCACAGCAGCCGTGGGACGGGTTCGGGAGCCTGGCGGGCGGTGTGTGGGCGGGAGCACTGCTGACCGGCAGAAAGCGAGCGCGGTGCCGGCCTGGGTCATCACTGCTCCCTGCCTGGCCCACCCACACCGCTGACCTTGGGCTTTCAGGGCAGCACAGGGGGGCTGCTCTTGGTTCTTTGACCTCAGCAAAGTCAGGGCGTGTGGAGTTTGCAGAGGCCCCAGCGTTCTCGGTTCTGTTGCTTTGGTCCTTGTCCCAGCAGCCACACGAACGGGGCACGTGCGTCCCCGCCTCCAACAGGCAGGTGGCCCTGCTTGTCCTGTCTCCTTCTCTGTTCTGAACGAGTGCTGTGCACATTCCTCCCCGGCTGCCTGCCCTGCAGGAGAGTTCGGTCATGCCTGCCTAATACGTCCAGCAGCTAAAAAGAAAGGCAGAGGTTTAATCTTTCTTTAATTAAAATTGCTGAGCTTTTGGGAGTATAGTTTTTCTGAATTTATTTCATTCCACACAGCTTATATCTTAAAATCCGATGAAATTGGCGTTTCCTAATCGAAGTTCAGCAAAACTCTCAAATGCTGATATTTAGTAAAGGAGGCAATACTTGTCCTAGAAAGAAGCTAATGTTCCCTCAGGTCTTTGCTCTGAAAAAGCTTGGGGTGTGTGGGGATAAGATCTTATTTATAGGACTGTTTGACTCAAACACCCGGCGGAATAAACATACCTGTGCACACAACATACATACATATGCACAGAAATATGTATTTGTGTGTCAGTATATATGTTTGTGTGTTTTCTCCCCATTTTGTTTGCCAGCATCTGCTACCTATTTAAAATACCACAAGTGCTGAACAAGAGTGACTTTAAAAAAAAAAAAAATGACTTTTGGATGAAGCTCACAAAATGTCATTTGTATTTTACTTTTCCCATGGAACTTAGAGATTTCTGAGCCGTGTTCACTCAGTCTGTTCCTGTAATAATTAAAAAACAAAACAAAACACCATTTTGTGGGTGCAGGCCTTCAGGATGCTGGCATTATAGTAATTTGATACCAAATAAGTGGAGGTTGAACTAAACCAGTGATTTCCAACCTATTCCAAAAGGTGCTTTGTGGCTCTGATGGAGGAGGCTGGGAGTGTTTCTTTATAGTACCTTTCTGGCTCACTCCTAAAAAGAAAGAATTCCTAGGTGAGATGACTGAAGAGCGGAAAAAAACAATGCTGAGAAGGCATAAGAGGAATTAATTAATTATCATAATTATTATAAAAATTTGGCACATAAATTTGGCCACAAAATGTGACCTGAACTGGGGGCTGGCCACTTAAAGTCTTTATTCTCCTTGGTGTGAATACTCCTGTCTCACTGCACGTCCACGAAAGGCTGGTCGTGCTGGGTCCCTGTCACACTCGCTGCTGCAGAAGGGGTTCCGGAAAACAGGGTCTGCTTTCCCACATGGCAGCCGGGACGCCAGGCAGTGGGTTCCTGGCAAAGGCAAGGGCTCATCTCACAAAAAGAGATGAGAGGAAATGGACTAGGGGTTTAGATACCTTGGGGAAACCAGAGAAATTGCCCTGTAATCCTCTTGAGGAGGAAAGGAGACTCAGAAGTAGGGCCTCTGACGTCTGCCTGCCGACGCACAGTCTGATCAGGAAGCAGAGTGAACGTTTTGGTTTTTTAACTTTTAAATTATAACACCGTCCAAAAAAAAAAAATTATAACACCGTCTATAGAAATGGTGATGTGATTTGGGGCTAAAGCCCAGGGATACAGTGGGATCCCTCGTTTCCAAAAGAACAATTCCATCTGTCAGCCCGGGTGATCCTCTCACAAGTACAGAAAGGCTCGGACCTGAGGTTGGGCACCTGGCGGACAGGTGGGGGACGAGGCAAACAGGAAATAGAATAATGTTAACTGGGCTTATTGCTGGGGTATTTATTAGGTGTCAGGTGCTATGCCAAGCACTTTGTACATTACCTCCTTTGGAATCCTCATCAGACTTTACGGGGCCAGGAACTATTACCCACCTTCTACAGGTAGACAGGGAATCTGAGACTTAGCAGAGTTGGGTCATCGGACCAAAGTTCCCTTCTGCTGAAGAGAAAAGGTGATAGATTACTCATTTGCCTTGTTCTGTCAGAAGAAAAGTAGAAGCAACCAGAGGAACGGCTACTCTGAGTTTAATTCTGAACAACAGAAAATCTGACAGAATTATAGGGGAAGTTGTGCTTGACAGTTTCAGGAGAAAGGGAACTGGCCATTTGAGGTTCACTGAGTACTTACCACGGTTTGTTCTGGTTGTCATATTTTAAGAGGGACATTTACTGAGTTGAAGGAATCTCAGAGGTTGGTCAGGACGGGGTAAGGGGTGACAAAACGTGATGCGAAGGATGTCGAAGCTGGACGAGAAGAGGCTGAAGGAGAACACAACTATCTTCAGACTTTTCAGGGCTCTTTCAAGTAGCAGAGGAGTGGCGGTCCCTCAGTGGAGCTCTACAGAGTGGAGGGAGAGACTGCCACGTCAGTCTGAGGGGGTGGATTTTGATGGGCGCGATGGCAGATGTGGATGAGTCGAAGGGCAGGACCAGCCGAGGGCCAGCCCCTCCGTGGAAGTATCTGTCCGGGGCATGCTGCAAAGACGGACCAGCCTGATCTCCATCAGAATTGGTCCCCTCCAGTCCCGTGACATTAACGCAGGTCAGGGCCTGTCCGGTGTGAACACCCACTTTAATATTTGTGGAGTAGATTTGATTGGAAAAGCAAAAATGGAGGAAGCTTTGGTGAGAGTGAGGGTGGGTTTTATTTTCAACAAAATGTACGTTAGAAGCTACAGTCACCTTGCTTTTGAGAGAAACAACACTAAACTCGCTGAATTTCCTTTCACTTTGTTTTAATGAACGAATACTGTCCGTCTCCTCAAAGACTCCCGCGGCACCTACGGTCCCTTAAGCCTTTTAAGAGTTTGGTGTCGTCTAGTGTTCCTGAAACACTGAGACACACTTTGGCTCCCTGATGGGGATTTTACTGGGGTCAGAGACAAAGATAATAGGTTCAGTTGGGGGATATGGTATGGTATGAGCAGACAGAACTCTTTGGATCCCTTTAAAACACATATTGAGAAAAAATAAAAAAGAGAAACAAACTGAAAAAAACACATATTGATTTACAAACATTCTCAAGAGTACTTTGCTTTTGCTTCTGGCAAAATAACAAAGTGCTGCCCTCCCACGCCCCATGTTTTCTCTCTGGGAGCTTCTGTGCATTTCACGGCACTCGGGGATGCTCCTGGCCCAGGTGCGGTCAGAACCCGGGGAAGGACTGTGTGCGCATGAACAGGGCCGAGCAGGGGAACTGAACGGACCCTTTGCTGACGCCGGGTTGGGGGGGGGGGGGTCCTCTAGTTGGTGAGCTGTACGACGCTCAGGTATCCGAACTGGTCTATTACTACTTTTTATTATTTAGAAAATAAAGAGCTGACTCTGTTGGTTCTATGTACCTCACTTAAAAGGTTCTGGGGTTTGCTTTTCCTTTTCTAGGTGAAAACAAGTCGCCTCCTCGCCCCTGTGGCTTGAACCACTCAGACTCTCTGAGCCGAAGTGACCGGATTGACGCCGTGACGCCGACACTGGGGAGCAGCAATAATCAGCTCAACTCTTCGTTCCTTCAAGTCTACATCCCTGACTACTCAGTGCGAGCCCTTTCTGACCTTCAGTTTGTGAAGGTAAGAGAAGAGCGCGTGGTTTGGCTGGGCCCGGCCACTGGAGGTGACCTGCCATGGCAAGCTGTCCTGTGCCCCAGCCCTGGCCCTGGGCTTTCCCCTTGTCGTTTGGGTGCCCCACCTCCAGGTCCTGTGCCCGGCCGGGACACCGGCTCGGGGAGACCATCTCTCCCTGGCTCGGGCAAAAGAGCTGCTGAGCCAGAGGTGGCTCGCTCAAGGAGTGAGAGCTGGAGACAGAAAAAGAATAAACCTTTTCCAGCAAGTCCTCATGAGCTCGTGGCTCTAGTGAGTCTGGGTGGTCCCCGAAGGGCTGAGATTGGAGACCCTGAAGACTTGCTGAGATGGGGTGGGAAGAACTCTCTGCTTCTCCTTTGCCCTGAGACAGGGTTCTTTTCTTAGTCTGGAATAAAGACGTCTTTTGAACCGAAGAATGAGCCAGCTTCAGCTGATGGAAGCCTATCTCCATTTTCCAGTCTCTGTGAAATTTTGAGACGAAAACTTGGAAATGGCTTATATCAGTAAAAACTGACTTGTTTGCCAGAATCCACTTGAACTTGAAAAGTGGCTCAGTTTATATTCGAGGATGATATTTTCCTAGAAAAACCTATGCGGGCCTTTCGGGGGACTCTAACATGTAATACAGTGTCGGGACAAGAACACCTAAAAATAAGCGTTCTCTTGGTTTGTCTTCTGTACCATCTTCTGGCCCCAGATCTCAAGACAGCAATACCAAAATGCCTTGATGGCATCCCGGATGGACAAAACTCCTCAGTCTTCAGACAGTGAAAACACTAAAATTGAATTGACTCTTACGGAGCTGCACGACGGGTTGCCAGACGAGACCGCCAACCTGCTCAATGAACAGAACTGTGTGACGCACAACAAGGCCAACCACAGCCTGCACAGTGAAGGGGCCATCTAGGGCGCCCCCCGCCGACCCTCACCCCCCACTCCCAAGGCCCCAGGCCAGCTGACCGTGAATCCCATTAGTGTGAGCTTGTGTGCCATGCTGCATCCTGCAACATCCCGAGACCAAAGACTTTGTCCCCTTCCCGGAAGCAGCGGCGGAGGATGGCGAGGGCAGGAGCAGAAACTAGAGGTGTGACATCAGCAGCTAGGGCATGGCATTCAAGATTTTGGAGATGAACTTCTTCCACCCAAATAGAATCATGTTTATTTTTTCAGTTGTACCTTTTATCTTTATTCACTCTCCTCCTCCCTCAATCTGCATGAAGTTGGAAATTGTTGCGGTTTTATTTTTTCCCCCAAGAGATCATGTTTTTAAATAGTGTCTTTTGCAGAGTTTCACGTTGTTCTGTGTGAACTCTGCCGTGACTCCCTGATGTGACCCGAACCGAATGGACTCGCTCCTCCTCCCTCGGCCTTCGCGGCCCTCCTCGGGCGGGGCGCGCCCCCTCCGTGCCCAGCCCAGCGGGTGTCGCTGTGGAACTTGAAGGATGAATGAAGAAAACTGCGTTGCGGACCTGCCAGGTCTGTCCCGCTGTGGGGCGGGGCCTGCGCGGGCCTGCAGTCGCCTCCGTGAGCTCAGTGTTGTTTTAAGTTAATGTTTAACCGTGTCCCTTTCCCTCAGAAAGGTTTAACATTTGCTTGGAATGTGATTTTTTGCTCCTACTCTAAGGAATTTTTATCACCAAAATGAATGTTAATGAATTTGAAGCCCATGGTTTATCATTGGCAAGAGGCAAGGTGACTTCATGGCGCCCTCCTCCAGCCCGGATTCTCCGGCCCAGCCCGGCCGCCTCCCCAGCCCAGCGCCCCGGCCTCCAGAGCGCCGCCACCCGCCACCCGCCTCCCGCCTCCCGCCTCCCCGTCCTTGCCCTCTTAACCCAGGATGCTGCTACACAGATGCCAGACGGAAATCTTCCAGAGGGCCTTTGAGTAACCGCGTGGTGTGCAGTCGAAGCTCCTCCCTTCCCACCGGGAGGACGTGATTGTCCGGAGAGGCGCCGGGCGCGCTGGGCGCTGTGCCCAGAAGGCGTGGCCAGACCCAGGCGTTTAAAGGCGGGAGCTCTGGGCGCGGCCGGCCCCCGCCCCTCCTCCTCCCAGGGAGCTCCCTGCCCCGCTTCCCCTCTGTCCCCGGGCTCCTGGGGCCCGGCAGTGGCTGTGGTCCTCGCTCGGGGCCCTCGGCGCCCCCGCCTCGGATGCGGCCCACGCCGAGAGGCTGCCTGTCAGCCCCGGGTCGGTTTGGCCCCAAACAGGGAGTCAGAAGCCAAATGTGGGTCGTGGCCACTTCGTGTGTGTCTCCGCCTTGCTTTAATACCAAACTCGCCACGTGCAGTGAAAATGTCAGGAGGCACGTCTTGAGGGATCGAGTTCTCACCGATCTTCTCTGTTCTAAGTGTTAGCCAAGGGATAGCGCGTTCTGTCGGCGACGTCCGTTCGTCCGCGAGGACTGGGCCGCGCGCTGACCGCGGTGCGCGGGGAGGATCGCTACTCGGCGCTGCCGCTGGTCGCTGGGTCGCGCTGGTCGAAGGGCAGCCCCGGGCCAAGCGGCAGTTTCCTTCTCCCTCCTCAAGGTAGGAACGTGTCCCGCCTGGGCTCTGGCCGAGGGGAGCTGTGGTCGGGAGTCCCCGGCAACATGGAAAGCGGTTTGGTGGCTCCAGTGTCCCAGGCACGTTTGCCACAGTATTTCCCCCGGGGTGTCCGTCCTGGAGGGTCTTCCTCGTCAGGTGCCATGCCCCTTAGTGAGGGTCACAGGGGCGCCCCCTACGCTGCTGCTGGCACCCAACCTGCCGCCAGCCCCGCGGCTCTGTAGCTTAATGTTAGTGGGACCCCGGCCCACGAGTATCCCCTTTTATAAACAGATCCGTCCAAGTTAAAAGGTCCCGGTTTCTAAGACGCATCGAGCTGAGCACAGCCCCCTTGTGGTGTGGGAACTGGGACTGTCCCCAGGGTGCGCAGAGACGAGTTCCCCCTAAGGAAACGAACCCCGGGTCTCGCGAGGGCGTGCCCCTCCCCCCCCCCAAGCACACTCCTACTCCGGGCCCAGACAGCGCTGGCCTTCCTGGTGGTTTGGTGGAGCCCGGCCTGCCCCGCCGTGCTTCCTCGGACTTGCAGGATCTCTGCCGCCTCAGCCTCTCCCTGCCGATCCGCTTGTCCACACGTAGCCTGTCTCAGGGTGCCTTGCTTCTGGAAGGAGCGTCTAGAATCAGCGTTAATGTGTTGGGTCTTTGTCAGAGCCCCGCCGTTCCTTTATGAAATCCTAAAGCTCTGTGCGAGGCAGCTGCTGGCTCCTTGACTTCTCACCACGATCATACCCGCTCAGCGTGGCAGCTTTTGGGGACGTCCGCGGAGCATTGCTGGCCGGGGCGGCTTTGCCGTGCGGGCTCCTACTCCGAGAGGGTGAAATTTTAGCCTCCCGAGATTGTATTTGTTTTCTCCACACCAGTCTTTACCTTGGATTATTCATATTTTATAACAACAGGGAATCAAAAATAATTCCCGGCTGTAGTTACATCTGCTTTGGGGAAAGCTCAAGACCCTTCGGATCACACGCACTGTCTTGAGTGATCAGGTTCTTCTCCCAGGCCCTACTTTCCCTCTGGAAACTACCTGCAGGCTGTTGAAGGAGAAACGCTGGCTCGTGGCTTCACTGGGCAGCACAATGATTTTGGCTCAGAAGTTCTATGAAGTTAGATGTCTATAAAGGGAGTCCGCGGAGAAAGACCGTCAAACGTTTGAGATCTCCATGTGCAGCGGCCGGGTCCTAGACTTGCACGGCGGCTAGATCATCCTCCCCTGGAGCTGCTGGCTTCGTGAGTGTGGCAGGGAGTGGGCTGTGGCGCAGACCAGGTGCTGGGGTCTTGAATGCTGCGGGAGCCCTCGTTGTCAGACCCAGCGCCTGTCTGCGGTGGCTTCCAGCCCTGGCTCTGTGGAACCAGACAGGGCCGCCTCCTGCTTCTGGCCACTGTAGCATCCCAGAGGTTCCACCAGAAACTGGATCCCTAGTAGCCAGATGTTCCCAGGACAGTCCGCTTTGTCTTTATAAATGAGAGGGTTTTGTTTTTTGGGTTTTTTTTTTTCCTACTGCCCTACAGGTTCTTTCCCTTTATTTCTCTCTGTTCCATAGTCATCAGGCAAGCCCAAAATCATATATTTAAACTTCTAGGAAAACAGACCATTAAGATGTGTATGTATGGTGGACACTGGGGTGCTAGTCCACTAGTTTAAGTCTTGGTTCTTACATGATTTGCATTTCAAAGGGCACACCACTGAACTCTGTTCTACCCTCCCTCCTCACCTCACTTAGGGAAGAGCTCAGTGCCCATGCTGACATGATTGGCTTCCCCATGTGGGAGGAAGGGGGGGGCACCTTGCCATTTTCTAATGTTATTTTAAGGAACTTCTGTGCAAAGGTTGAATGCAGAACTCCACATGAATATGGAACATTAACTGTGAATAGATTTACCTGTGCTCTCCCAAGTACCATTTGACTAAAGGACCAGCTTTTCCAAGTCTACGAAAATAGTGGTAGACACAAGTAGAACTGTATTTTCACTAGGAATGGAAGTAATAGGAATTTGGGCTAAGCAGGGACCATGAACTTCTGCCCTGACATTCTCTCAGGTTGAGGAGAAGACCCTGGCCGATTGAGCCTTTGTCCTAGCTGGTCAGAAATAAGAAGAAACCCCAACCCTCTCATCTTCTGAAAACCAGCCAGCAATCTGTAGCTCTCTTCGCCTGTCCTGGGCCAGGATCCCAAGACTCCTCCAGGGTTCGCCAGGGGTGATCCCCAGCGAAAGAGTCACCCAGGCTGGGGCGGGAAGGGTGCTTAACAAAGTAGCAGCTGCCAGGGAGGGTTGGCTTGGCACCCACCACATGACCCAAGTTCTCTTTGACAACTCCCTGTCGCTTTTGACCCCAGAGACAGGTTTTTCTTACAGGGGGGTGATTGAGCTGGCAATTCAGGGTGTGGAGGCTTCTGGGGCACCAGTGCCGTGTCTGAGGACACAGTTTCTGGGTTGGGTTTGGCTCCACTCTAAGCTCTGGGCTAGTACTACTTCTGTCCAGCAAGGAAGGACTTTTGCGTGAGTTGTGGATTGATCCACAGTGAGGAGGGATTTAGAAAATTAAGTATGAAAGTGGTTTGGGGTGATTCAGAAACTTTCCGATGTAAATTTATCAATGAGCAACCTACTCAGTGGATTTTTATATCTCAGGGCCATTTACAGATCTTTATCTTTTCATATTTCTTTTGTATTCAAGTGGGCTGATAAGAGAGATGAGTTCAAAGAACTCTAAGATGAGGTTCATTTCCCTCCGTTTGAGGGTGAGTGGTGCACCCTTGCCAAGCTTGCTGAAGTCACTGTCCCTCAAGGCTGTGGCAGTGGGCCTTTTTCCTCTAACACTTGCAGGCATTCTTCCTGCAGTGAATGCCTACTTGCTGGTTTTCCTTCTGCCCTGTGCGAAGGGTCCCGAGTCCCTGGTCAGCCCGAGGGACAGGAGGTGGTGATGGCAGTTCACAGCAACTGCAGAGCTTGGAGCAGCTCCCCTCCTGCCATCTTGGCCTGGGGACTGTCTTGGCTTCTTAGCCCTTTGCGGTTGGCTCAGCGCAAGTAAGCTTTCTGTGTGTGCCAGAGCCACTGACCTCCTTTCACTAGAATTGTCGTAAATATCTTTTGATGGGAAATACCAGGCTGTACTTGAAGCAACATACAAACAAAGGTTCTGGTAGCAACAGAGTCAAGTTCTAGGACTTTGTATGCCAAGGTTTTTATGTACACAGCTCCAACACATACTAGGAGAAGGACTTTAGTACATGTGTCTTTGAGTTTGAATACCCACTTTATGTTGAGTTTAAACATGAACTGGAAGAATGGCTTGTCTCTCCTGGCAGGGTATCTTCTGGCATCTGCCCACATCTGACCAACACGGATTCACCTGGGAAGGGATTCCTTTGGGACCAGATTCTTGTTCAGGTTCACCTTGGAGAGAATTACTACATAGACCTGGTGGGACTTGGGTGCCTTCCCTTTTTCTGGGAGCCCAGGCCCCTTGGTATACAGAGCTGGTCTCAGGCTCCCAGAGCAGGAGGGAAGGAATAAGGCCTCAGGACTTTTATTCCCCAGAGAGCCCCAGCCTAGCTTCTGATTTGTTAGCCCCCATGTCTGAAGTCTACTGTGAAGGTGGAGTGTATCAGTCCATTAACTTCTCTTATTTCTGGAGTCTTTTAAATCTACAAATGTATATGCTTTATTTTATATTATTATTTATTATGTACATAAGCCTCTACTGTTAGTACATTGTGACTGAGATATTTTCTAGAGCCCCTCGTCCATGGAGCCTAGGGTTCTCTTGTCCCTTAAAGTGGCTGAGAAGGCAGTGGTTTTCTTTGTTTTTTGTCATAAAGAGGTTGCTGCTCTTACATTGACCCTAGCATCCCTGCCCCTTCTTTTTGGGGCCCGCCACTATTCCTGATGGACTAGTGTTTGGGTTGAGGAGGGAGGCAGGTCTCCTATGTTACGGCAGGGCTCTCAAGTACCTCTGCGAAATACTTTAGAGGTTGTTTCCTGGTGATGGGGTCTGTCCGCTGTGATGAGACCAGAGCCTTCTTCCCCAGGCCAGGTTGGCAAACTGGCCCCACAACAGTGATGGCCTCTAAATTCCCACCTTGGATTGCAGAATCCATCTCTCTGGACCATGGAAGCTGCCTCCCATCTGGGCTTCTAATAGGCCTTCTCGTGGTTTTGAGGCCCAATGCCAGCATTGCGTTGGCCCTGAAATAAGACCCTGCTTTGTGTCTGATTTTCATCCTCCTCGGCCTTGACTGTGTCATAGTGTACATTTCATGCTTCTCAGCAGTGAAGTTTTCTGAACACAGTATTCAGAGCTGTGTACATAAACCTAAAGAAGCACAAATGACATGTATAGGTTTCCTGAGCTGATTGTCATAATGAATGCATTTTATAATTCAAACGATGTTGTAGATTTACAATCTCTCCTATTTATTTTGTACCAATTTATTTGTAAATTTTGTGATTGTTTTAAAAGGTTTTTGTTCATTTCTATTATTCTATTTAGATAAAGGATGATTTTCTGTTCACCCTTCCAGTGGATGTTGTGTTCCCTTCCTCCTCCATCTATACGCCACCGCCCTCGGTCCCCTTGCCTAATAGCACGGCTGTCCCGGTGAGAACGCTGGGGTCGTTTGTCAGCATGGCAACACAGCAGGGCATTTCTCTGGCCACACACAAGGTCTTCTGTGACCAGAGAGGGATGCTAGCACCGGGCCTCCACCTCTGCCGTGGAGTCTGGTACCACCGGTTCCAGGGGGGTGTTCTCCTTGGCAAGGAGGATGGTCCCGTCGGAGCATTTTAGTTAAGGACCCTGAGGGCATCCACTCAAATTGTCCCACACTTGCCACTCAGTCCCTAACAGCACAGTTGAGCTGGGCAAACGTCCAAGCTGTTTTTTCCTAGGCAAGACCAGAGGCCTCGTTCAAGGCTCTCCGCTGGCTCTTGAAGAGATCGGCTCCGGAGGTCCTCTGCTCTGTGAAGCTTAGGAGCAACGTGTGGTTGGCGGCACAGGTGGTTCACTCTCAAGTCAAAAACGTCGGGCCTGAGCGTGGTGAGTCATGTCCAGATGCTCTTGAGGATGCAGTGGGCATCCCCCTTCCCTGATAACCCAGTGTTGGGGCCCGCATCCTCTTCCATCACCACTGCCTTTTAGAGTCTTCTGGTTCCTTCTTACCTGCATCACTCAGGTGCTACCAGACCCTGCAGATCTTCTGGTGTAGCTTCCCAGCCCCTGGGTGATTTATCCCCAGATCACGTCTTTCTGGAATCCTTTTTCCCTCCACTCTGTCTCTATTTTAAATTCACAGAGGATCGTGCTCTTAGGGACTGGTCCCTTATTTTCCCCACAGTTAAACCATGGTTTAACCATGATACACTTGCCCTGTGGATGGAGACAGCTCAGTGAAGAACTGCTGGTGAGACTGGCTTGGAGACACGCCACCCTCCCCAGTCGTTACCCCCAATTTCTTCAAAGTAGAATGGGGGTAGATCTATATTCCAGTGAAGTGTTACCTTCTTGGGAGCCTGTCTGCTTTCCTTAGAAGCAGAGAAGAAAGCAACAAGCAGGGCCAGGGAAAGAATTCTCTGTCCAACACATCAAGTCCCAGCTAGCTATTTTGTTGTTTTTCCTGCCTTAGTCACTTTGTCTAGATGAGTCCTGAGTTCAAATCAGGAAATTCCCCAAGAAAAGTAGAGGTGATTTTTCCTGCTGTTTGAGATTTTCCTAAGCTTTGTCTCTGTATCCATGGGGTGCCCGTGTGTCCATTTGTCATGAAGTTTTATCATGAAAAAAAGCTCTGGGGTTCCTATTTCATACAAATTGTGCTCCCAGCACTTTTTGTCAACTCAGCACTTCTGAGGACACAGAGTGTGACCAGCCAGAGGGTCTTGTAGAAAAAAAATGACTGCTACGAACTGAATGACCTTTTCATAACCTGCAGTTGAATCCTGAAAACTTTATACTTTAGGAAAGTAATGCAAATTAATAGCAATAATTCTTTAGTAGAGCCAAAAAATTGAATTAGATTAGATGGCTAATAAACTCCTGGTTTTTCTGGGGTTTTTTTGTAAGGCTGTTTCATCATTTTCCCTTCAAGATCCTCACATCTGTGCTCATACTGTCACATCCCAAAACAAAGGAATGCTTTATGGGGCCCTTTCTCTGACATTCTAGTGGCATGCCGTCTCCCCCGGTGGAGGACTCTAAGGCCTAAGGATACAAGGAGGAAGTTGTGGGAGTTCGTCGTCAGAGTGCTTTTCCTGCTGGGAGATTCGGGATTGTGAAGTGCTCAAACAGTAGGCCAACGCAGGACGGGAATGTTTAGACTGAGCCGGCTTCCTTACTACAATTCTGCTACATCATTGACTTGAGGGCAGTGGGTCCAAAAATGAAGTTACTTGCTTCAAAATACCAATACCCACAAGTCAAAGATGAGAACCCTCAGAAAAGGACTGGATATTTAATAAACTTTTTTTTTTTTTTTACTTAAGTGTTGGAAAGGTTTTGCTTGGCATATACTTCCAAGTATCTCAGGAACTTGTGAGACTCAGAAGGCCTGTTGCTGTTCTCCATGGGAAGGATGTGCACTCGTCGCCTGGGCCAGTGCCTATGGTGAGGTTTATCTTGGCCCAGACTCTGCAGGCCTTCTCTGTAGCCCCGGCCAGACATGGCTTTGGGAAGAGCTTAGTGGGAGAGCAGACCATCTGGGGACCTATTTGTGCTTAATATGATTCATGAAATAATATCTAATCCACCTTTTTTCTAGTAATAAAATGAAACAAAGCGATCTTAGTTTGTAGGAAGGAACACAGACCAGACCAAAAACTGGTTTAAATTAGAAAATATAAAGTACTTAGACTTACAGTAACAGAGTCAGCAAGCTTGAGAAAAAATGCTGTGTTCCACTGGGAAGACTTTTTTGTGCTAGAGGTCTTCAGAGGAACTTTAAAATACTGCATGTATTTTATTTTTGAAATTGCCTATCTTTGTTGCAACAAGTCCGACTGCTGTGGCTTTGGGATGGAGCTATTGTCTGACAACAGGGAAATGGGTGAGTTGCCAGGTTACAGAAAAAAGATGCGTTGTTGATTCTGTGAACGAATGCATTCTTTTCCTAGAGGACTTGCTTTCTCTTTCTACCTACTCAGCAGTGAGAGAACAGTGTGAAATGCTTGGTCACGTTAGTGGAGGTGGAGGATGGGATGCTGTGGGTTTTACTGGAAGTCACCTGGCTCTGCTTCCTGGCTGCTGGGTATGGCCTCCCTGCTGTTTGCTGGTAGTGTGTGTGTCATTTTTCTTCTGTTTTTTAAGGCTGCTTGGGTAGCTCCACGGTAGAGATTTCATTCTAAGGGCCTCCCAAAGTTGTGTATCATTTGAAATTGTTCCATTTAAGAAAAAAAACGTTGAGACGAGCCCTATTCTCTAGTCACCAAGATAAAAATGTCATGAGAAACCTAAGTATTGAGATATAAACTTCTAAACCAAGTGAGGAATTGGGCCATTGATGGTATGGCAATAGCTGGCCCATAGTTACCATTTTTCCCACCATCAAAGAAAGGTTAAATAGTTTCCATAACAGGGAATGTGTACAAGGCTCCCACCCTTAATGCAGACTTAGATACGCACTTACTTGTCTTGAGCTATTTGTGGTGAATAAGAGTATTTTTAAATGCTCTGGCAGCCTTGGAAAAACTGCAGGGCTTTAAAGTTGTTGACAAAATATTTCTTGAATAAATAAATCTGATTTAGAAATATCTAAACATGAACAAAGTACTTTTAAGTCTGACATGTCACTGCAAGTGGCTTTTTAAAGTAGCTGCTTAAAACCAGTAACATGACTAAAGGATTTGTAGCTCCAAGTTACTCTAGTTCTATTAAGAGCCACTTCTAAAAGCACCTTAGAAAGGGTAGCTCGAAGGGCTGCTTTCTTATTTTAGGTCTCAGCAGAGCTATGCTTATGGTAGGAGAAAATTGAAGGTCTAACAGAACACTAAACTTTCTTGGCTTTAATTTTTCGAAATATACTGACCATCTTTGTAGAGATGAATGGGGCAAGTCCTCTTACGAAGGGAACCCAGCAGCGCTGGGGTCTGCTGCACCTGTGACCAGCTGCTGGGTGTGGTAGGGTCCCTGTCAACCCTGTACATGCCCTAAGATTGGGAGTTCAGTCTAGCACCCCAGAAGGGGTGTCTGGTGCTTTTCAAATGCCCAGGGAAGAGATTTTGAAGAGTTGGGAAATCTGTGTTCTCATAGTCTAACATGCCTCAGTTCAAAACAAAAACATTAAGTTCAGCTTCCTTAACTGTTGGCAACAGAAAAACTCACTTTCATGTTTTAGCAAGCTCAACTACATCTGCCCCTGGACCACCTAATTCCCTAGCACACTCTTCTAACAGTAATAATATGCAGAGAAGCAACACTCTGCTCTGGGTCGTAGATGCTTATGGAATCCTAGCTCTTTAAAATAATTTTGATGGTCCTGAAGAAAGCTCTGACCAGCAGTGGAATTCTTCTTCCAATTGTGTGCTTTTTACTCCTCGATCTTTGGATCCACTGTCAGACATCTGGAGAAAAAGAAACTCTTAAAAAGATAAGATCTTATGCAGATAACACAATACAAAAAAAAGTGTGGTAAATTAAAAGCGAAGTGTTCATGATGATCCTTGCTCTGAAAGGGAAAATATGTAAATGTACTATTAGAAGTTAGGCTCTATAGTTGAAATAAGTCCCTTCAAAATTATTTGGCTTTGAGCAAATTTAAGACTGTGTCAAACTGGGCAACATCTCCCATCTTGAGTGAGAGCTGGGGTGACCACAAACATACTCTCTAAAATGGGGACAGTATTTAAGTGCTATTTGCAATATTTGTAACCTGATTATTTTTATTTTTAGGATTTGAGGGAGCACATGCAAGTGGGGAGGAGGGGCAGAGGGAAAGACTCTCAAGTGGACTCCCCGCTGAGCATGCAGCTGGATATCATGATCTCAGCCGGAAAGAGGTAGCCACTCAACTGACTGAGCCACCCAGGTGCCCCAGTAACCTGATTACTTTTAAAGTAGCATATATTCCTAAGGGATACCAGTCTTAATGTAAAGCTCATATACTGAAAGTGATGAGGTAATATGGTCTTGGCTATGTTACTGAACTGTGTTCCCTTCCTATAAAATCATTTTTAAAAAGCCTTACCTCATAGTCCTGTACCAAAAAACGTCCCATGGAAAAGTTGTGAGACCTCTTTAAGTACTGGAACCATGAGTCATGCCAGACTGTATTTCCTTTAAGAGAATGTCAAACTGATGTCACTATCCAAACTTAAACCCACCTGAAGACCAACAGTTAATTACAGTTAGGCTACAGGAAGGGGTCAGAGTCAGGATTAGAAATATTACACTTCATTGAATTCTAGAGCAGCTAATCTACCCTCCGTGTTCACCAGTAGGCAGAACGGAAGGAAGGTACGGAGGGAGGGTCAAGTACCAGTCTCCACTACCACTGGAACTACCGCAGGCCATTCTGCACTGTGAGGCCGTCTAATAGCCTCAAGTACGCAGTAATGATCCATTCTTGTTCAAAACAACAAGAAGTGATTTCTCTTGGGATTCAGAATTTACTCCCATTGATGATTGTACCTTCAGTTCTAATAAGGTTCTGACTTACAGGGCCCTCTTCCCATCCTCTAAAGTTTGACTTTGAACTACAGCCGTCCACCCTAGAGGTTAGAGAAGGCTGGAACTCTGGATAGCATGAGCCACACTGGCCCACACTAAGGAATTCACTCAGTTATGCTCTAATGGAAGAAGGAGATTCCTCCTTTTCACGGGGCTTGCTCCTTTGCCCTCTTTCTATAGATTGATCCCAGATGAGAAAAAAAATTGTTTCTGATAAGAAACATTTCTGCTATCAAAAAAATGTAAGAAGAGATGAAGACTTGTACCTCAGAACAGAATCACTGCAGTGCATTCCAGACCAGCCCTATAGCAAACCAAATACTTGTGCAAGGCCGCTGAAGCCCCCAGTCTGCCCAGAGGACACTTCAGAGCTTATAAAAGGAACCTTGACCTTAACAGAAGACTACATTTGATAATGGAAGCAATATATTTCTCCACTGATATACAATAATGTGTAATGCACTGAAAATTTCAGGATGGATTTTGGAGTAAGAGCACAATTTGTAACGTAACATTTTTGGATCACCTCTTCCCATCACCCTTGCTCCACTCTGGGACTCTGCCCCACCCGGGGTGTATCCAATACATACTGAGAATGAAACAAGACAAGGAAACAGTGTCACAAGCCACGACGGAGCCATCTGCATGCCGTTCAGCCCAGCTTTACCCTTACTTTCTTTCAGTACAGACTCCACTACAATTTGAACCATCTGCAAAGAGTGCAAACAAAACTTAGAATATTTTAAAGTCTTCAGAAACTTTCCAGATGTACCTTTGCTAGAGCTCCCCCACCCACCGCTAGAACCCATCCTTTGCTCCTCTGAGTCCTGCCAGGCTTGTTTAATGGGTGCTCAGTTTTGGTTTTCCTCCTTATTCTTCTTCCTCTTCCTCCTCTTCATCATCATCTTCATCATGGCAGTGTGTAATTTCCTGGGGGGCCAGTGGGAAGAGGTTGGGGGGTTTAATCTCACTAATCGACCGGGTCAACTGGTGCCGCTTGTAGTCGGTATCTTTGAAATCAACTGAGGTGCGGTTCCGGGTGGCAAGAGGGGACTCCATCTCGTTGATATCTACATGTGTATGTTCCACTGTTGATTCATGAGGCATCTAGAACAAAGAGGTTCAGAAAAACAGTTTCCTAAATCCTAACCCCTTCTCCCGCTTGTTAGGTGGCTGTGCAGAGGCCCACCCAATTCAGATACTAAAGCGTCTTCCTAGAACTACCTAAAGCTGCCTATCTTTTTCCTCTCTTCTTCAACCCTTAAAACTGTCCAGATCATTACAGCTGGAAACTAGAAAAGATGAGGGAGAAAGATGCTTCACACCAAAAAAAAAAGTCCTGAACTATAGATCAGTATATACATCAGCACTACTAAGTAAGAAAAATACGGTTTTTATATAAACGCTAACAAAAGAGGAAAGTCTTCACTATTCAAACTTTTAATACGATACATTTCAGAGTAAAATTATACCCTGTAACATTCAATCTTGATCCTACTTTCTGAGAGATCCCTTTTGTGCAACCATGTAACCAGCTCATGGGCTTTTGCACAGTAGAAATGACAAACCCAGGAACGCCTGGGTGGCCCAGTCGGTGAAGCATCTGCCTTCGGCTCAGGTCATGATCCCGGGGTCCTGCTGCTCCCCCTGCTTGTGCTCTCCCTGACAAAATCTGAAAACATCCCCTGTGCCACCCACAAACCTGGTTGCAGATTTGAGCACTAAGAGTATATCTTAATTGTAACTACTAGCCTAAGACTATTAACTCACCAAGACGTGGGCAGCTCTAAAGAGGTAGCTGAAGGGATAGTAGAGCAGGTTGATGAAAGATGCTGCATAGAGATCGGCATACCGCATCACCTGACTGGCAAACAGGGTCTGCCGGGAGCCGCTGCGAAACAAGCTTCCCATCATCCCGTAGCACATGTCCATGTCATGAGTCACTTTCTAAAACAGACGAGAGACTGAATTCTAACACTGAGTGCTGGCTATGTGCCAAGCCCTATGTACTAGAAGAAATATAAAAAGCAAAACTTGATCTTCCAAGTTTCCTCCCCAATCCCACTTGGATACCTTGATGCGTCTCTGGATGGAGCTAATGTCTGGGCGCTCATTGCTGCTGCTGTCAAGATGCCTGAAGACAAAGAAAACTCCACTGAAAATCTCCAGAAAAGACGTCTCCCCAACATAGGTGATTCCCGAAGAGGCAGAGGGTTGTTAGGGAAAACTTTTTTTTTTTGGAGGATGCAGAAACTTACTTGTAGAGTTCAGCCAAGAAAATATCCAAGCTCTGAAGCTCTTCAAAAAGTGCTAAAGTTTGAAGGGAAAAGAAAAGTGTTTTAAATGAAAAGCATTCAGCTTTTAATTGCTTGCCCGAACTCAATTAAGAGGCTGCTGATAGGACCAAAAAGTAAAGCTACAGGTGAGTGTACAAAATGACTTCCTTCTGCTTCAGGAAAACCCACTCCTGCCCTGGTTTCTTCTTTAACTGCCTGTCCTGCTAGTTCAACACCGCTGGCTACAACTCTCCTTTCCAAAAGGATGCTGACTCTGAGCTTACAAAGCGCTAATTCGCATCCCGTGTCAGGTGTGTCAGCAAACAACTGTTACCAGTTCCATTTTCAGATCCAAGAAGGAGGAGGAGGTGAGGTGTCCAGGGTCACAAGTCCAGGCAATAGAGCCAAATCAACTACATCTACAGAATTTCCTAGGTGGAAAGTTGAAAATGGGGATGAAAAGCTAGCCAGAAAGTCCCACTAAGGACAAGCAACAGCCAGTATCTGTTGCATGCTTTCGAGGTGTTCCAGTCCTTCTCAATCTGCCTTCCCCAAAGAGAATGAAGCCCTAATGGATCTACTGTATATGACAAATTTTCTTTATCTTTTTTGGGAGAACTGAAAATCATGCAAATCAATTTCTCTGTTCTGTGGCTCAGATGAGAAAGGCTGTTACTTGTATCTTCTTTATACACACATTACACCCCAGTTAAGTCTCAGTGAAGTAGGTATTATCCTCATTTTCACATTTGAGGAAACTAAAGCACAGGGTGTCCCAGTAACTTCGAAGGGCATGAAGATATTAAGTAGTAGAGCTGGGGTAAGCAGCTGAGGCAATACCTTTCCCCAAGCTGTGGGTGATGCTAGCAAGGCCTAGCTGGAGAACTACATGTCAAACATCTTTACATAACTAGATCTACAGGTCAATTCAGCATACAGTTCAGAGAATACAATTTGGCCTCATTCTCAGAAGAGCAGGAAAAGAAAAAAAAAAAAAAAGACACATTACCACTCAGAGCCATCAATGCCCCCAAATCACAGATACAGGCTCATGGCGGAGAGACTGGAACTAGTAGGTGTGGTTGGAAAATATGGGACTACAGAGGAAAGTGGAATTCACAGGTTAGTTGCTACAGTAATATAACTCAGGATAGCAACATTCTGTGCTTAACTGGGAAGGAATTCAAGAAGCCTGAACAAGATAACCTCCCCTATTTCCTCAAATTCTGGAGTTCTGTACCGTATACCTGGCTAGAGGGAAGTATCCAAATATCTCGGGACTACCTCTGTCCCTTTCTCCCCACACACAAAGTAATGAGTTCACAGCTGGCCCGTAGGATATAAAGTAAGAGTAATGGCTCCTTACCACTCTTATCAGTCCAGACATGCAGCTCCTGTGCAAGCTCAGGAATCACCAGGAAAGTTCGCCACCCTTGCCGTTTCTTTGATTTTAAAATGTCTCCAAAAATGTGATCTCCAATATACAAAATGTCCTTGCCCTTGGCTCCCAACAGATCACAGATTGTATCTGATGAACCTGAAATGATGGAATGAACAATGGGAAAACAAAAATGTCTCCACGTTAAAAACCAGCATTCTAGGTACCATAACCATTAAATACCGTTCTAATTTTATTCTTATGCAAGGAACAGACTAGGAAAAGGTCTCACCTTTCTTAAAGACCCACCACTGTTTTTCTTTCATCATTCCTTTCATTGCCTCTAAGGCAAGGCCTTCAGTTCCACTGTGCGAACCAGGGTTCTTGATTACCAACAAAAACCACATGTCTCAGCTTTAGTGAATATAACCCTCCAAAAGTACCACCGCCATGTCTCATCAGAGATCTGACAATGTGGCTTTGTTCAATTGTTTCTCACTGCAACAAAATCTGCATATCTTGTCCATAAGGGCTCCCTGAGGATCCCTTTGAGAACCTCCTCAAAAAGGTAAAAGGATGAGGAAAAACAGATCCTTTTAGGAAAATCAAAGATTCATTAAGTTGGGGCGCCTGGGTGGCTCAGCCGGTTAAGCATCTGCCTTTGGCTCAGGTCATGATCTCAGGGTCCTGGGATTGAGCCCCGCGTCAGGCTCCCTGCTGAGGGGGGAATCTGCTTCTCCCTCTGCCCCAGCCCCTGCACGCACATGCTCGCTCTCTCAAATAAATCTTTAAAAAAAAAAAACAACCCACAAAATTAGGTCATACTAACAACTTCTCAAACCCATTCTCCTGACTCCTATTGCATTAGTAGGTGACTGAAGCATTTACCTCCAGTAGACAATATCTTCAGAATACTAAAGAGTTTGGGTGGCACTATGCCAGGAGGACACCAAAGCTTTCACAAGTCTGAACAAAGACTTAAACTAAATGGAAATCTGCGACTCACCTCCTGAGTAGACGATGCCATGCTGTAAGGGGCCTGTGTAGGTACCAATTTTCAGCTTGCCAGTCTTCTGTGAGGAGAGAAGATGGACTTTGTAATAATTTATTGTTCAATCACAATTGCCACCCAAGATGCGATTTGGATAGGCAGCTAAATGAACAGCACTTTTGAATTATATTCTTTTGGATTTATTTGGCTATCTCAACAAATAGGTTTAAAACTTAGATTAAATTCAAAAGAAAGGTATGGCTAATAAGTTAAAAATACCTGTTTCCTTAGGAAGAATAAGAGTAGGGAAAGGAGAAATACGAAGGACATGGGCTAGCAGACAGCTCATCCTCTCGACTTACAGTATCCACCTGACGTAGTACTGTGCCTTCTCCAAAGAAGAGTGGCTTCCGTGCATCCACCAAGATCAGGTCAAAGTAGGATTGCCATGGTCGATGGGAACTCCCAGGCTGATGAAGATGAGAAAGAGCAAAAGCCAAAACATCACTCCTAACCTTGAGGCACTAATATTTAATCTCACTCAGATACAAGGAATGTAGACATATTAAGTATATCCAGAAGATCCCACTATTTTGTTAAAAACGTGTTTTATTATAAGCCACATTCTTTTGGAAGCAGCCAAGGTAAAAACATAAATTAACACATTTTAAATCATTTTATCAATTATTTCACAGCAACTTAACAATATGAAGGAAGGTGTGCTCACACTCTGAAATGGGTTAACAGAGGCACAAAGGGGCCCGGAGAGATGCAAATCAGTACTCAAGAGACAGATTAAGAAAGAGGCAGATCAGCATTAGAACTGAAGTATACAAACTTAGCATGGAACTATTACTAGCAAATTTTACTGGTTATGTTCTCAGAATAATGGCTCTAGGTTCACATTAGCCTTTGGCTCATATTGCAGGCTTATCACAGCACTAACCTAGAAGCTATGCCCATTAACATTATTTCCATCCTGAAATGGAACCATGCTATTAAACTTTTAAGATAAGCTGAAGGGCAATGCATACTGTGCTTCTGAGCGATCTCAAAACAGATTTACTGATATTTACTCAAGCCTAGTACTAAAATCCCACAAGTATGTGACTAAGTTGCAATGAGTATTCCTTAAATCTAAGTGTAGTCCTATTGCAGGAATGAAGACTTCTCTAAATATCAAAGCTAACTGTTCTCTTGGCACAGAACTCAGCAATAACTAAGAGCAATATCCAGAAGTTGTCAAGAATATATATATATATATACAGGGCGCCTGGGTGGCTCAGGTGGTTAAGCGACTGCCTTCGGCTCAGGTCATGATCCTGGAGTCCCTGGATCAAGTCCCGCATCGGGCTCTCTGCTCGGCAGCGAGTCAGCTTCTCCCTGACCCTCCCCCCGGTCATGTGCGCTCTCTCTCTCAAAAGAAAAAAAAAAAAAGAATATATATATATTTTCTGTTTCTTTTAATCAGATATCTTCCTCAACCTGAAAATTCCTATCTTTGCCACACAAACTTAACAATTCTACGTAATATTATTCTGATCCCACCCCACTAAATAGCATGAATATCTCCCTTTTATTTCTACTTAGTTTTCAAAACTCTGACAATGTTATACTATACTAGCTCCTGCATTACTTCTAATGTTAATGAAGATTTCTAGATGAGTTCTGACAATTCCCTTAACTTTCAATATTCCAGAATGAGTAAATGCATTCATTATTACTAAAAGCAGTGGTCTATTAAGTTATGTATAGTACCTTGGGGCCATGCGGGAAATCAAACAGGTAAGTCATAATTTTCTGGAAAAAAAAAAATCCAACATAAGGTCCATATACTACTTTTGCAAAAGATATATAGCACCTAAAAACAAAACAAAACAAAACAAAAAAACCGAAGTTTTTCGTAACACACGTCTTTTTCAACATAGGATTCATCACATTCATGTTTCCTCTAAGTTTATGAAATAACAGCTGAAGCCAGAAATTAATGCTTCATCAAACAAACAAAAGCTGACATTCTCAGTAGGACACAGGCTTCTTCTGGGACATATTTTTGTACACGTCATCCATATACCCTTACCCAACTCTCCTAGAGGACTGGAACATATACATTTGGAATGGTATCTGAGGTAAGGGCATCGAGAAAACTAATGACTCACATGGGAATAATATACCTTGGCCTCCTAACTATTGTTCCTACATTAACCAAGCCAATGAACCATTAGATTTGTTGGCTTTGTAAGACTGCTTACTCCAGATCACATTTCTAAATCAAGATTTTACATAAAGAGAACTGGGCAGCACTGAGCTGCTTGCTAGTACTATAAATCTGTAACTGTCTTAGCAAAAGTAAGAGGAGGCCAAGGAGTTAAATCGGCTTTTCTACATGCTTTAACCATGGCAAAAAAAAAATTTTTAAGTTATAAGGTAGGAAATTTTGATGGCTAAGAGTCAAAACATCCTTGCACCATCTATTGCTGTCTGGCTCCCAACAGCAGGGAGGGCATTTATAATAAATAAATGTGTGACTTCTCAAGTTTATATAAATGATGCACCAGAGAGATGCAGAAGCCATTTTAATCAGCACAAATGTTTTAAATAACCTCCAAATTAAAACCTTCAAGTAGCCAACTGTAATCAGGGAAAATAGTCAAATGAAATATTGAGAAAAATTTGAGAACCACTCTGAGGTAGCCCTTATGCTATATTTTTTCACTCTGCTCTCAAAATGAAATAGCAAAAAACTACCCTCACTTAACAAACTACTGTCCTCAATATGTTCACAGTTCTTTAAGCCAAAATTACTCCTCTGTATAGACAAATAGGAATATTAAGCACTTACATCTGTATATTTATAGTCACTGTTGGTGGCAAGGAACACTTTCCCTACTTCCTTCATTCGGCTCAGAAGCAAAGGCAGTTTTCCCTGCAATATAATATGATGATGAGTGAAACACTAAAACACAAATACATACTCACTTACACTTGGACTTTTGTCCACTGGAATAAGAATAGGGGATGCCCTTTAAGGGTTGGTTGGTTTCAGAATTTTACATTTAAAAGGCTACATTATCACTATACATGAATTAAGTATTAATATATGTAGTGTACATGGTATATATAATGTATAGGTTTATTTATAAAATTATACACATATGCTTATTAAATATGCTTATTAAAAACACCTCGGGGCACCTGGCTGGCTCAGTCAGTGGAGCATGCGACTCTTGATCTCAGGGTTGTGAGTATGAGTCCCACATTGTGTGTAGAGATTACCAAATAAATAAATAACATCTCTACCTTCCTCATGTCTGCCTCAGGAAAGTGTTTAAATTACTTTGTAATCTCAAAGTATATGAATGAGGTATGTAAAGGGTCAGGAAAAGCTGATTTTAAATATTTTATTTATGTTAGAACACATGCACAATCGCATGCACGAGCAGGAGCAGAGGGAGAGGGACAAGTAGACTCCTCCGAGCTCCATCCCACAACCCTGAGATCATGACCTGAGCTAAAATCAAGAGTCAGCCGCTTAACTGACTGAGCCACCCAGGCGCCCCAGGAGGAGCTGATTTTACTTTTTTTAAAAGATTTTATTTATTTATTTCACAGAGAGAGATGGTGAGAGCAGGAACACAAGCAGGGGCAGTGGAAGAAGGAGAAGCAGGCTTCCCGTGGAGCAGGGAGCCCGACATGGGGCTTGACCCCAGGACTCCGGGATCATGACCTGAGCCGAAGGCAGACACTTAAGCACTGAGCCACCCATGTGCCCCAAGGAGCTGATTTTAAACATCACCAGCAAAATACTCTACATGGAGAGTATAAGATATGGCTTCACCAAGTATACTTTTATAAAACACCTTGCAGAATGAAATGCCACGTGCAGGATGCAACCTAGAAATGCCCAGACCCATCTGCAGATACCTGAGGAAATTCTAACTCCTGACGTGACCAGAAAGAAAAGCAGCTTTTCCTTCTCTCACAGTAAATAGGTTCCTTCACTCAAATTCTCCTGGACCTCTCCTGAACCCCTCAGTGTTCTCTCTTGAAACAACAAGAGTGGAAGTGGGAGTAGAGGGGAAACAGGAGGTACAAAGACTGAAAACTAAGAAATCTGTACCAAAATACTTCGAAGAAATATTGCATTCTGTTCTTACTCTGTGAGAAAAGGAAGAAGTATCTAATCTTGGAGCTGTGTATGTTTCCTTTTTAATTTTAAAATAATTCCAGGGACGCTTGGGTGGCTCAGTCGCTTAAGCATCTCTGCCTTTGGCTCAGGTCATGATCCCAGGGGCCTGGGATGGAGCCCTGCATCGGGCTCCCTGCTCAACGGGGAGCCTGTTTCTCCCCCTGCCTGCCACTCCCCCTGCTTGTGCTCTCTCTGACAAATAAATAAGTAAAATATTTTAAAAACTATAAAATAAAATAATTCCAGACATGAGGCGCCTGGGTGGCTGAGTTGGTTAAGCGGCTGACTCTTGGTTTCAGCTCAGGTTGTGATCTCAGGGTTGTAGGATCGAGCCCCACATAGGGCTCCGTGCTCAACACAGAGTCTGCTCGAGACTCTCTCACCCTCTCTCACCTCCTCTGCTCCTCCCCCAGCTTGTGGGCACACTCACTCACTCCCACATAGAAATAAACAAATAAATAAAATCTTCAGAAATAAAATAATTCCAGACTTACAGAAAAGTCGGGGAAATAGTACGTTCAATATATTCATCTAGCTTCCCTTAATCAGATCTTACATAACCATAGTACAATGATCAAAACTAAGAAATTAACATTGGTACAATTCTATTAACTAAACTATTAAATTCTATTAATTCTATTCTAAATTAAATTCTATTAACTAAACTACAGATTTTAAAAATCCTTCAAGGAATTTTAAAGCTTTCCTCATTATTCCCTGTTGATTTAATTTAAATAATCGTCACATATATGTACATTTTTTAGATTATCTAGTGCTCTGGTTATGATTTGGATCACATTCAGGTGTGACCTATGGCCTTACCCCTTACTAACTGTATAAACTTGGGCAAGTTATGTAACCTCTGTTCCTCAGTTTCTTTACCTATAAAACAGAGGTAACAATACCTACCCTCAGGGTTCTACGGAGATAAAATGGCATATAATCACTTAGTGATGTGCACACAGTAACTACTCTAGCTGCTATTATCATTAGAGCTAAAAGGACAAATGAAATACTGGATATTCTTGCCTATGAACAAACAGGAAAAACTGTACCAAGACCTAAGTTCTGGCTGAAAATTCCTGGTGATTATATTTGACATATACCAACACAAAGTCCATTGTCCTTGTCCATTTCATTATAAATAGGCTTGTTATTCATTTCCATGATTTGCAAACCTATTTTCCCCTTTCTTACTTACATCTTTGACTACATATTTCTCAAGATTTTCAACTGTCTTTTCCTTAAGGGAGCCCTAGAGGAAGAAAAAAAAAAGAACAAAATCAGTTTTTTAACAGTTTATAAGAAAAATTATGTCTACTATCAACCCAAATGCATTTAAATATTTACCAAAATGGAAAAGTAGATAAACTAGAGAGGGCCATGATAAAGCAGCAGATGAGATTTGCTGCGACTCTGCCTCCAAAATGTATTTAAAATATAAAACTATTTTTATTTTAAACTAGAAACCAAAAGGAATTTCATATTTTATTCAGTAAGTTTATAGTAAATGTAATATTAACTAGTTAGTGTTATTAGTCAAGCAGAAGGTATTTGGAAAAAAACAGACAGCCCATAATCATCCTCAAAGAGTAGGGTTAAGTATAATCTTAACACTAAAATCTCTTCTAAGTTTGGGAAATATAAACTGAAATAAAAGCTAGAAGCCAAGCACTATTACTAAGGAAAGATCAGCACTACTTCTGAAAGCAGGACAGCCAAAGACAGGAACACAAATATTTTAGAGAGCTGTCACTAGGGGGCAAATCCATTTTTTATTTTATTTTTTTAAATAGAGGAAAAGTTCTGCTCTATTTGCACTTGAAAAGTAAACGTCAGACCATAAAACACATGCCACAGAGTGAATAGGTGAAGCAGAGGCTCCTAGGTACCTTGTAATGAACCCAGTCGACAGCATCTCTTACATCCTGGAACATACTTCGGTAAGACATGAAGAGGTCCCCATCTTTAAATCCTGTTTCACAGCTATACAAAGATGAAAAGAACATGACAGGGAATCCAAAAGAGGGTAAATAAAATGAACATCAAACACTGCCCCGAGGACCCAAAGATTCCATTATCACATGGATAAACACTGTGGCTAATTAGGAAAATAATTACTCCCTAGTGAAAATCCATTTTGACCACCGGACAATTATAGTGTTCAATGGAATATAGTAATTGTGAACAAATATAAAGTGATAGAATAATATACTGAAGTGGAAGCTAAAAGGTCAGTTCCAAAAATATCATGTTCTTTTATTTATCACTTTTAAGAAACAGGTTCCCATCAAAGAAACATTTAAAACTTAAAATTGGTAATTTAGGTTCTCTTCATCCTGACTTTTCTGACGTTGTCTCTAGGTACAAAGGTTTGGCCTATTTTCTATTTAGCTTAGTGACTTGGTGCTCCACCAGATTTAGTGCCTTGAAGTAGATAAGGCCTAGAGAGGATAAGAAATTAGCAAACTCTGACACACATGGCTGAACTTCCAGCAGTGGTTATGCAATTCCCCCTAAAAAAGGAGAGGATAACTTGTTCAAGACTTAAACACAATTTTACTTCAGGGAGGATAAACCGTATTTACTCCTCAATCAAATCTCGCTGGGCCTGGGAGTAAAACTAAACTTCCACACCTGAATGGCTCCTGGGCAGCTGCTGTGAAATGAGTTGGGGGTTTCAGTGTAATTCTGCTTGGACAGATAATCATCACACAAACCTCCCACTCAGTTGTCACAATCAGCACCTCTGCTGGCCGTCTTCATTCCCAGGAGAAGCCAATCAGAAGTGGTCCCTTCCAAACATGGCTGCAGCACACTGGCAAGGAGAGTGGGAGGTGAGAGCCTGCATGGAGCTGCTGGTGCTGTCCCATCTCTCGGGCTGGCAATGTGGCATCTCTCACTAGCACTAAATTCACTTCAGAAAAGCAGAAAAGACCTACAATGGCCAGTTCTCTAAAACCCTGTACATTAATTTTAAAAAATCAATCGGAAAAAGAAAATTGTACCATATACATACCTGGTATATCTAGGACAATTAGTAAAAAAATCTACAAGGCAGGCCAACAGGTAGGTCTCTGAAAAATGAAGAATAGATATTCATAAGCTGTAAGTGAGATAATTAAACTTATTTCATTATCTCCCTTGAGCAAAGATAAATGATCATGAAAAGAAGGGAAAGCATCCGTAATAAATAAGCACAGAATGAGTCTACCTGGTAGATTGAATAGTGTGTTCAGAATGTAAAATCTTTCAGTGTCATCTCGTTGAATAAATTTATTTGGATACTGCTCTCTAGTTTCTGGTCTGAAAGAAAAAACTTTAAATTAACTGATATTCAAGAAATGAACATTGTAATAGCTATCAGAAATTTCATCATTTAAAAATTCATTCGAATATGTTGGTGGCTACATTCAAGGAAGGGTTCTAAATATTACACATGAGTAGCTACGAAGATAGACAAGCTCAGGTTCCAGCCCTTAAAAAGTTCTCAGTCTGGTAAGGGAGGTGAGTCACATACACAAACAATTATCACCAGGTTAAAAAAAAATCACAACTGCCTAAAGAGAGGTGCAGAGAGCTATGAGAAAATGGAGGAAGAGGGGACCATTTCAACTAAAGGGGTAGAAAAAAAATGAATGTGGGAGTGAGGAAAGGGAAATCTAGCAAGGATTCATGAAAAAGGGGGCATAGGAGCTAGTCCTTAAAGGCTCGGTAGACCAATTCAAATACTAGTCCAACTGGAGAAGAGTGAGGGGAGCAGACGAAAATAAAGCTAGAAAGATGAATTGAGGCAGATCATGCTATTGTTATTTTTCATTCAGGGGCAACGGGGTTTTTTTGGATTTTTTTGTTTGTGTTTGGTTGGTTTTTGCCACTGACGGTTTTTAAGCAAAGGGATAAAACCATCAGAGCTGAATTATAAAAATATGCAACTAGTAACAGTTTTAGGATAAAAAGAAGAAAGAAATGTGATTATGTTGCAAAAATGGCTACAAATTCTCCCTATGCATTGTAATGTGTGACTTTGTATTTCCTCTGATTAAGAGGCTCAGTCTATTTCTCCATCCTCAAATACAGGCTTGAGTAGCAGCAACTAGGTATCCAAGCAGAGGCTTGGAAAACACTTGCATATTGGGGCTTGCCTACTCTTGCTGCACTGCACCTCTGAGACTACTGAGTGAATGAGTGACATAACCTGCTGGAAGATAAAAGACTACATACAGAAATGAGGCTAGCCACAGGCTGCCAAATGCCAAACATGTGAGTGAGGCCATGCCAGACCAGCAGAACAACCCCAGAACTGCCCAGATGACTCTCAGAATTTGGAGCTAAATAAAATGGTCACTGTTTTAAGCCACTAAGTTTTGAAGTAATTTATTATGCAGTAAAAGCTAACTGACACAAAGGACTGGGAAATCAGTTAAGTGGTTACTGTAGTCTTCCAGATGAGAGCAGGTAGGGTCTGTCCTAGAGTGGTGGCACAGGAAATTAAAGGGAAGCGTTAATCCATGAGAGACTGCCAAGGCCAAGACCAGGCAACTGACTGGCTGTGGCAGATGAGGGACATGAGAGTCAAAGATGATGATGCTCACATGAAGGTGTCCCTGAGAGGGTGGTGGTACCCTTAATAGCAATATGAAAACTGGATAAGAAGTAGATCTAAGAGGAATTCTATTTTGGATACATTAAGTTCAAAGTAAACAGATTTTTATAGGCAATTAGTAATAAAGGTCAAGAACTTAAAACAGAGATTCAGACTTCAGAGAGAACTGGGGTCATCTACACACAGGTAACAGATGAAGTCATGAAGACTGTTACAGTAGATGAGGCCACTTGCAGTTCAGAGGAAAAAAAAGAAGACAGAACAGACCCATGGAGGACATTTAGGGTTAAAAGGAAAACCAGCAAAACAGATAAAAGTTGTTAGAGATGCCCAAGAACCCTGGAGAGTGAAATGAAACACTCCAAGAAGAGGAAGGGGATAGAATTAATAAAAATAGTACAGAGAAACCCAAAAGAAGAAAAACTAAAATATAAAAAGGCACAATTCTCAGGGCGCCTGGCTGGTTTAATAGGTGGAGCGTGTGACTCTGGATCTTGGGGTTGTGAGTTTGAGCCCCACACTGGGTGTAGAGCGTGCTTAAAAATAAAATATTTTAAAAATGCACAGTTCTCACAATGAATATACAGAGATTAAGTACTCTAAAGGACATCAAATTTAAAATTCATATCAGAGTAATCTGGGTAAATTCCTACTTGGGTCTGTTAACTACCAATGGCATAGACTCTAGTTAGGAATAGAAAATCATATTAGCTCCCGGTCTTAGTCACCTTCTGAAATAAGAGTTCCCAATAAGGAATAACTACGTAGAATATCTCATTTTCTAGCCTTCTAAGGTTTTCTGTAATGAAGATTAAGGTGGAAGGGAATAGTAATGATGTGCTTTCCTCAGTCAGGTTTAGTAAGATGACACTGTCTCCTTAGATAGACTTTCCTATTCCCTCATTGTTAAAGAGTAATTCTTTTACATAAGGATAGTTAACAGTTATTAGGCAATTAGAACCAAACTGACTTACAAATTTAGTTAGCAATGACATTTTGTTTAAATTAAGAGCCAAATAAGGCTAGGGGCGCCTGGGTAGCTCAGTCGTTGGGCGTCTGCCTTCAGCTCAGGTCATGATCTTGGGGTCCTGGGATTGAGCTCTGCATCGGGCTCCTTGCTTAGCAGGAGTCTGCTTCTCCCTCTCCTACTCCCCCTGCTTGTGTTCCCTCTCTCACTGTGTCTCTCTGTCAAATAAATAAATAAAATCTGGAAAAAAAAAAAAAAGGTCAAATCAGGCTAGCATTTATTTAAAATAAAAATTAAGAAGGAAGGAATGCTAGACTTGGAAGTTGGGAGGAAAACAGTAACAGTACAGAATACTGCTAACTTTCTGTGACTTGCAGAATAAAGATTTGATCTCAATATTATCCTACTCTAAAACTTTAAAGGTCTTTGCCATTGTCCAAAAAAGAGGCCCCAACTCACTGGCAAGGCACGTAAGGTTATGCCTGATGTGGCCCTAACCTCCCTTCCAGCCTTGTCCACCAGTACTGCTTCAATAGCTCACTTTCCCTCTCCCTCCATCCTCAATCTCTCGTTTTCCACAGGCTTTTCCTTTTGACTCTTAACCAACTGAGCCACCCAGGCACCCTAAATAAATAAAATCTTAAAAAAAAAAAGTGTGTTGTCTGAATGATTCTGCATTACCCGTAAATGGCTTATTTTTTAAACACTACTAAATGTACTTCCAAAGGAGCTATTTGGAAACTTTATTGGTTTATTTGAGGAAAGAAAGAAGGTCTGTGGATCCTGAGTTAGTAAATCTAATTGCAGTACTAATTTATAGAACTTCCCTTCCTTTTCTTCTAGAACTACCCCTTCCCCATAACACAAAAACCCCTTTTCAGACATTAATAAATAGAACCTCGGTTTATCTTCATTGGAATTTTGAGTTATGGTACAATATCCACATATAAAATAGCTTAGGTTGCTAGCATTATTTGCAATAGCTTTACATTCTAATCCTGTCTCCTGATATTCATGAATCTTGAACAAACCCCTCCCTCATGAGAGGAACAGTGAAAGAAAGGCAGATATAATCACAGGCCTGCCCAGATGTGTCAAGATGTGTCAAGATGGGGTATATACTTCACACTGTTCTATGTATACTTGGAAATCTTCAAGCTGGAAAGTCTTATATCAGATGCTTCACTTCCAAATAGGGCATTGCTGTGACCTCAGATTTAAAGGATACTCTGGTACAGTTAGTTTGTGCTTATCACAAAAAGTATTTACCAAAAAGATACTGTCTCTTTAAAAGTTTCAATGTGGACCATGTGGTTTTCACTACTTTGCCTTTGAGAATAACATATAGAAGAGTTATGAGAGACTGACACATAATCTATTTTGGTTTTAAGAGTTGCTCCGTCCCTGGGGCTCCTGGGTGGCTCAGTCGTTAAGCATCTGCCTTCGGCTCAGGTCATGAACCCAGGGTCCTGGGATCGAGTCCCGCATCCTGCTCCGCGGGAAGCCTGCTGCTCCCTCTCCCAGTCCCCCTGCTTGTGTTCCCTCTCTCGCTGTGTCTCTCTCTGTCAAATAAATAAATAAAATCTTTAAGGAAAAAAAAAAAGAGTTGCTCCATCCCTAATGCAGTGTCAGTAGTAAATTAGGTAGTGAATAGTGGAGAAAATGTACAACTGTAAAGCCACGACGACAGAAAGTATCAAATTGTGGTATTGTGATTTTTAAAGAAAAAATTGGGATGTTTCACCAAAGCAGTAGACACTAAATTTTATCTGCTGTTTACTAGGGTGGAAAGTCCAAATTAGTGAGAATAGTGGAAATATTCTGATTATTAAAATAAAGCTTACTCTTACTTGTTTTAAATATTATCTCCCTTATTCATTTTTTAACCCATGTTTTTAAAAATTTTAATCACATGACCAAATATCTGAAGCTATTCATTAGATTAAAAAATAATATGTTAGCTATTAAAAATCTTAGCATTTACACTGTTGTAGTTTCAAATTTTTCAAAGCACTTTTATATACATACCTCTTCTGAGCAGCTACCTGAGAACTGTATTAAAAAGGAGAAAATAAAAATCTTAGAATTTCAAATAAGTCAAAGCTACTACAGTTCTTTTTGGGCAAGTTTCAAGATTAGCTTTGTTGGATGCTGTATAATTAGAAACCACTTAATTTACACAAAATACAAATGCTAACTATATTTATAAGTCAGTTTGGGTCCTAACTGCCTGATAAATAATTATTAAGTATCCTTATGCAAAGAATTGCTCTTTAATGATGAGGGAACAGGAAAGTATATTACATCTGGGGAGACAGGTGATCTTCATATTGTTTCACTATAAAAACACTAGAAAGAGGCTAAAGGTTCTATGTACTCACCCTCTTATGAAGTTAAATCCATGTGCACAGACCAAAAGGTTTCCATAGGCATCAACTTTCAAAAGATTTCCATATAGTGTATCAAAAACAAGTCCCCTATGTGAAAATGAAGACATCAACAGTAATATAAAAATAATACAGGCAACAATCTTATGTAGTATTATTACTTAGTCATGATAAACCAGTGCCATCTTATTCAAGCTTTATGACAACTCAAGCATATCCCCAAACAATATAATCCTGGAGGCTGGAGTGAATAAAATCTTAAAAACTAAACCCAGAGCAAATAAAAAGTATTTACTCTGTCTAAATAATCACAACTGTTTTCTGTAAGGAGTAAGAGCTTAAACAAGGTATGAACTATAATTCCTCTTAATACAGTGGTTCCATTCTAAAAGAGTCTTTTAATTTCCTTGGACAAATGAGCTGGCTTATATTTTCCTCTAATAGATGCTATATATGGGACATATAATGATGGCATCTCAAATACCATTTTCTTAATCTTAAATCTTCCCTATCAAATCCAAAAATGCAAACTGCCAAGAGGGCTCCTGATGACCAAGTGAAGTGTATTAGTAAAGCAGGTAACTGCTCTCCAAGAGCAAAAGGTAGGAGTATCTGTGATTACTGCCCATCAGTTTTAATCATCTTTCTTCTTTCCCATAAATAGATCTTCAGTAACAATAACTAAGCTCAATTCAAGAAGAGAAAAGATACGGTATACGTGAAAAGTCCATGGTAATTTTACAATCAACATCAACCAAAAAAACAACCAGAAACAAACCAAAGAATCTTTTTTGGTTCTTTTCTTTGAGGGTGGGCATGGTCAGAGATACATTTGGAATTATTAATTTGGGGGATAGAGGGAAGGATTTTAATCCAAAAAAATCTTGAAAAATTACCTGGTAGGGAATGCAGAATCATAAGCAAAGCTGAGCAGTTCCTGAGGGTAGCCAATAGAAACTAATCTCTCCACAGTTAGCTCAAAGCCAAGGGACTCATACTCCGGGGACTTGTACACTGTACAAAGAAGAGGTTCTCATTATAATAACAGTCACTGAAAATAAGGACAAATGAGTGAATTTCTACTCTTTCCCAACTCTTCCCTCTTCCTAAATATGCCATTTTCTTCTCGTCCCTCAAACTCCATGTTTTGTAGTGCCCCAAATAGCCACAGAACTCAACTGTTAGTCTGTGGAAACAGGAGCAAGAGCAACAAGAATTATCAGACATTTCAGAATAATTCTTTCATTTCTAGGAAAACTTAACATTTTTCCCTTTATCTGTTCTTTCATGCCCACAATCTCAAGGCAGAAAAAGGAACTATGCACAGCTGTGATATTAACCAGGTAGAGAGGTCTATATATGTTGAAGGCTTCACTGATGTGTACAATTGGTGTAGGAATCCTTCAAAATGAGCTTTTAAAAAAACCCCAATTTTTACAATCCCTATTTGGCTTGGTAGTTGCTTTATACTCCTTCTCCAATCAGCATATAATTCTATTTATCAGGATTAACTTGTTTTCTTATCAGCACTAACAATAATATAAAGCCATCAAATTTGCATTTTAAGTTATTGCTGCAATATCAACCATAAAAAGACATGTCTGGGACAATTAGGAAAATCTGGATGTGTACCGGGAATTAGATATTAAAGAATTATGACTGGGGGTAGGGAGAGGGAGAATTGGAGGAAGGTGATCAAAAGGTACAAACTTCAGTTATAAGATAAATAAGTACTAGGGATGTAATGGACAATATGAGGACTTTAGCTAACACCACTCAGGAATGTTAAGAGAGTAAATCCTAAGAGTTCTCATCACAAGGAGAAAAAAAAATTTTTTCCCTTTATTCTTTCTTTTCTTTTTATTTTACGTATATCAAAAGATGGATGTTAGCCGAAGCTATTATGGTAATCATTTTCCAATATATGTAAATCAAACCACCATGCTGTATGCCTTATTTTTTTGTATGCCTTAAACTTATACAGTGATATATGTCAATTATTTCTGAATAAAACTGGAAATACACATTTAAAAAAGAATTAGGACTCATTTTATGAGATGTGATTATAGAAGGATGGGTATATGCAAGTGTATGTATAAAATATATATATATCCTTACCTACCAAAAAAGCCTACTGAGTTTGTTACAGGTGAAATAAAATGGATTTTTTAATATGGGGGTTTCTTTCTACTATTATGTATCTTTGAAATATTCTGTAATAAAAAAACTTTTTAGAATCATCACTGCAGTTCAGCATAAAGAAAATGTTGCTCCTTTAAATAGGTTTCCTCCAAATGCAATATTTAGGTAAGCATCTTTCATTCAGTCTCTAGGAGTGGGTGAGCTGTATTAAAAAGACAAATAAAAAATAAAAAGACCTTCAATCTTGCTAAATGCCAAATGAGGCAAAAAAAATCCATTCATTTTTATCTCACAATAATGCAGTTGTTGTTGTTGTTATTATATTACTGTTCTTCTATCCACAATTAATAGTCTATGGCTCAAACTGATTTTTCACTGCAATTAGTCTGCCAACCCAAATTAGTGCTAATATGTTAATGAGTACTATTCAACTTTTCCTTGCCAAAAGCCATCTTTTAGAATATTTCTGGAACTACATAAAAGAAACCAATAATACTGGTCACCTCCACAGAAGGGACCTGAGTAGCTAAGAGATGGGGAAGGAAGTATACTTTCGTGTATCTTCTGTACTTTTACAACTTGTAACATATTAATGTATATATCTGTTATTTTTAAATTAAGTTGTAATGTTAAAAAAGCAGGGTGAGCTTTCAGAATCTTTTAATAAATATTTGTCGTATTTAAAAAGCCTAAAATTTTTAAGGCCCTTTAGGAGAATGAGGCGCTTGAGTCTCATCTCCTCAGAACAACGCCAAAAGTAGCTGTCATTTCTTTGTCATCTCAGGGGTAAAAATAATCTAATGCTAATGCTACACTAATATTCTCAAAACCAGCTATATATTTTCTCTGTTCAATTCCATACCCATCATCACCCTCTCCCACCAAAAAAAAAAACCCCAAACAAACAAACAAAAAAACCCCTTTTGGAATCCAAGAGTGTGGAATTCTTAAATCTAAATGATGTACACTGTGGTAAAGGAAGTGCTTGTATGTTCATACATACTAAAAGAATAAGAGCTGGTGTATTATAATAAAACCAGGAAAGTAGTATTGACTGGTGTCGATCTGAATTATTCTGAGAATATAAAATAATCTCTCTCACCCAACACTGTGCTTCCACTTCAACTGAGAGTAAATCTCTTTTAACAAAATTTCCATAAAACAAAAACTTTCTCAATCCTAACAAAGACCCACTTATTTCAAACAATATTTAATGAAATAAAATTCCAGTATAGTTAAACAATTTGGATAATCCACTGACATTCATTCTTACAGGATTTGGCCCATACAAAATATTCTCAATTATTAATTTTTTTCAGAAGAATAATTTGCTGGATACACCTTAAGAATGGGAGTAAAAAAACCCAAACAAACCTTAATCAGCCCCACCCAAGCTCACCCCTAAATGAGCCATTTTCCCTAGTTAGAGATCAGGTAATTACAGTGATGGAGTAATGGTGATTAAAACCTGTGTTTTTGAGAAATTTTGGATTGAACCCCAAATCTAATCCCCATTTTGCCAGCACAAACCCTAAAACAGCAGAAAATAAAACACTATACACTTGCCACATTTATCTTTATTCCAGGACAGAACTTCCCAAGTGTTCAACTGAAGTGACTTTCTAAATTCCACCTACAGAAATAAATACTTTAAATTTCTTTTTACCCAAAGAGTTTAGGGTACTTTCTAAAAATACAATGTATTTTCCCCATGTGCTGACCTGAAGTTACATAGCAAGTACAAATGTAAACTTAAACCAGAATTTAGGGCTCCCTGAGTCTCATCCAAAGCTCTTTGTGGAGGGATATACTACCACTGTTAAAAATGAATGTCTAGATTACATAGGCCACCAAAACTTAAGCCTAGGTGTGGAAACACACTACCCTCCCTCCAGTTTCTTTCACCTAGTCCAAAATAAACTGCTCTAGTCACAGGTGGGAATGGATTTAGCAAAGAGAGTTCAAGTTCCACTTTGACAACACGATCTATTTCACTAAGCTCTATATTAATCAGTTAGACCTACAAGCTATTGACATTTTCTCATAAGCTTCCCGGATAATCATTTCAGTAACACGCATTCCCAGGTCATTAAGTCATCCGCTAGAGCACTATACAGTACAAGCAGGGCTGGAGAAGCAGAACCGTAGCTGCACAGATCGCAAGTTTAGATGTTTTGTTCTAAGTGTCTCTTGGGAATAAACTGAATAGTCACACTTTGTTCTGACCTGGTAGCAAAAATGACTAGTCCCAAAGCCTACAAAGATCACCATTCCTTGAAAAATAAATAAATAAAAGCAAAATTCCTTTTTTTAATTACCAGGCCCTTCAAAGTCAGCCTTGATACCTGTGGGGAACCATATGCATCACCTCCGACTGTATGGCTCTAGGCCTCTCCACAGCTGCAAAGGCTCTAATTTCAATTTCTCTTGCAAAACTGGCAAGTAAATGATAACTTCAAGCTCAATTCTTACAACTGACTTTCCAAAACACAGCCAAAATAGGTTCAGAGTAAGCATAACCTCACACATTCACTGCTTATTTCTTCTTCAAAAAAGTCCTCAGGCCTAACCTAATTTACCCAATGTTCAAAGACAAAGGAAGAAGTTATTTCAAGGGCCAGAGTCCAAAAAAGAGGAGTGCTTCAGCCACCAGAGCAGTACACGGTGTTCTCGGGTTACGTAACTAGACTATAAAGAGAACCACCAAAGCTTTGAAAGCTGAAGCTACTGAGAGCACTTAAAGATATTCTTTACTCCATAATCTGTAAGGAAAACAGTTCTCCAAAAAATATCAACTATGTGTTGTGGGGATGAAAGTTACAGGCTCTGTTTTGAGAAATGTTGTGCATACAAGATAGAACCTATGTTAGAGGAGACCGTCTCTGAAATGAGCCAGAATCTTTCTGCAGGGAAGTCTAAAATTCTCATGCACTTGTTACCTTTGCCACCAAGACACACTGTGTATAGTAGTTTATAGATTTTAGAAAAAGGAAGGGCAAACCTCTACAGAGGTTCCAGCCTAGCAGAGTGTTGCTGCCAAAATGAGAACTCACATGAGGCAGATGCAGATGCAGAGTGTCACTCCAGTCTTGAAGGAGTTACACTGGCTCTCCTGTTAAAAAACAAAACAAAGCAACAAAACAAAACAAAAACAAAAACAAAAACTGGTTTTAAAACTGTTGCGATGGGCTGGAACAGAGAGACACCATTTGGATATTGGTATTTACAGGAGTTACTGCCCTCCTATTTAGAAGCCTCTGACCATCACTAAAATTCGTCTAAATGGCCATAACAAAACAAGGGTATTGAAGATAAGCCTAAGTGTTGTGCATTATTTAAATATTCTGACACCCTGAGCCTGGAATACAAGCCAAGTCTGATCCTGAAATATTAAGTTAAAAGATAAACAGAAAAATAAATTTATTTTGTCTTAGTTTATTTTCTCTAGCACATTTCAGGTTTATATGACAGAAACTGAATGTAGCTGGTAAACAATATTTAAAATTGAACTACAGTAAGTGAAACAGGCTAAATAAGGATACGAGAATAAACCAGAGCAGTCTCATCTTGCTGTTAAGCACCCATGTTCCTAACTACCTAATTTTCTACCCTTCCAACACCTAAATTTGTAATCTTGTTACAGACAAGAACCAACTTCACGCTGCTAAAAATCTAACCAGATGTCTAAATGTGGAATAGAAGCAAAACTTTATTTTGATTCTATCAGTGGTATTTGCCCTCAGTAAGCAGGGTCTTACTATTATAGTCAGAGAAACTACCTAGTCTAGTAAAATAACTGACTTGAAGATACATATAAGGTATTGACACTTTTAAGATATGCACTATGTTTAACTTTATAGGGAGTCATTTTC